AATTGTAGTCCTAGTAGGCCACTGCCACCACCCCCACTCCTGATATCGTTCCAAACTACTGTAAAATGAAATTACTGTATACCCTGTCTCTTATACACATCTTCAAATAGATAACAACATTCATACAAACAGTATACAGTTCCAATCTGATAGGACTACAGTACTTTCAATTGATTCATGTTTCTATCCATGGCCTATAATATGGCCTGAATTGCCACCAGATCCTTATCCCTCAAGTAGTGACAAGGCCTCATCCTGATTTGCAGTAGCAGCCTCAAGTACTTCCACCACTCAATGTTTCACATCTTACTAATTTCTCAATGGTGTTTGCTCTATTAAAAGTACTTAATATATTATTGTCTTTTTACAAAAAATACATGGGAGAACATGACTTCGATCAGGAAGCACTTCTTTAATTCTTGACTTCAGCTTTCAGGTGATGCAGAATGAGCATTTACTTTGGCTGTGGTTCATCAACTTCTATTCACTTGATTCTGTGGTCTGTGAAAATTAATTAAACAAACTAATTCAAAGAGCTTATCAATGCTACTGTGATGGTTTTAATGATCAAATATGTATTTAAATTGTTTCTTTTTAATCAAAGGTTGTTTTCCAAAAAAAAAAAAAGAAAGAAAAGAAAAATAAGTAGTATCAGTATAATACAAAATTAAATGCAGGTGGTGATGTTTAATTGGACATCAAAGTGTTGATAAATATTATTTGCTTAAAAGTCAGTTTTGATACCTATTAATTAATATATTTTTTGTTATGTTGTGTCTAAGGATTCCAATGTAGATAAAGCATACTGTACTACTAATATAATAATTTTGTTATATTCTTTTCATGAAGACATTAAAATCAATTAAGCCTGAATTACTTAGTCTAAGCACAGTCACTGAAGGGCACATCCCCCACCCCAAAAAAAAACTGAATTGATTCAATTTGTGTAGTAATTGTTCTTGGTAGTCAGTAGTAAATAGTTGCTATATAATTGTAGATGGCTATTCTTGATTTGTCTTCATGGTCAGTTGTTTATGCTGGGTCGATTCATTGCCAACATTATTGTCTCAATATGCTTATTACAATATAACATCATCGTATTTGATTCACAATACAACGTACTCTGTGGTTATTTTGCTGTCGATAGTACCGGTAGTAGTAGTAATAGTCGGTAGTAATTTGAGGAAAAGGCAGGGCTTCCTGTCTGCGTGTGTGGTGTGATAGAGAGACGCTTAGTGCTTCTCAATTAAGTAAAACATACCATACCATTTTTAACGTTATATGTAACCACACACGTACCTTTAAACAGATTCGGTGCAATTTTGACTACTACTTGCACCACCATCCCTGAGATCCCCTTCGTTATATATGTAGGCTATTCATCAGCTTCGACGGAAACTTAATAGGCCTTACTGAGGACTCGTATTTGTTGTTTTCCACAGAGTTGCACATCCTTACATTTCTTTAAGCTGTTTACGCTTAATGACACAACCATACTCTAGGTTCTTACAACATGTATCACAAAAATATGCCTGAAACCGGCTCAGATTTATCATTTGAAGAACTTCTGTCCAACGCCATACTTGCAAGTGGAGTGTGTTTTTTACTATTTACATTGGACAAACGGCATAGAGGGTAGTTTGTGATTGGCTGAAGGCCTTGCAGCTAAGCCAAACTTCATTGTTAGTCGTCTTCTGATTGGATATAGTTACGTAGCAACTTTTGATATAAATTCTCATTTTTGGTTACAGTTTCCCCAAATTCACGATTGCCGACAATCAAATTATGTTACAATTTAATAGTATTGACATTTTTGTGCAAAAGCCAGGTAGCCCGGATTGGTGGGTCACAGAATTGAACATTTTCCATCCTCAACCCACGGTCTATTATATTTTTTTTGTGTGGAACACACAAAAACCATATTTCTGTCTTATTTTACATTTTTTCCTTCTTCATTCAGTTAAAACTAGCAATTCCGTATTATATTTATAAATCTTTATAACATTATACAAAAATTAGATTTTTCTTACAAACTGAAATTTTGCCGGGAATGGGGCTTTAAAATTGCGCAAAAACTCCGAAATCGGAGGGGTGATTAAGTTAAAAGATTAAAAGCAGTATTCGTTGCAAGATAAAATAGGATTTTCGTTTTTGTTAAATGATTCTAAAATAAAATTTAACAATAAAAATGATCAGAAATAATTAAATTTAAACAGAAAGTTAGTAAGCACTGTGCTACATCATAATGGAAACAGGAAGGATGGGGAAACGGCATTCAGACAAAAAGTGTTTTCGTTTTAAATTTTATAGGCCTATATAATTTTTTCTGTCCTGTGGCTCTGCAAAAA